AAGAGCACGTTTGCAGCATGGAGTGAAGTTATAATCACTGTGTATTGAACACTTATTATTTGCACAGTGTGGCATCACAAGTCTTTGGACTGTTTATTTGATTTAGTTTATGTAATTGGATACACTTATCACTTTGCACAGATAAAGTGTTATCATTTGTATTAGAATTTTCACGGTTTTTGACCACTAGGAGGCATAAATAGGAGTGTGAATTTGCACCAGTTATTTATAAATGATTTTGTATAGTTTTATAGAATTTAAGAGGGAATTAAGCACTTATTTTGAATTTTTCACAATATTATTGATGTAAAAAGGGTTTGTATACACTATATAAGTTGAGCGCTTCATCACAAAATATATACATTTTATTTGCACATATCCTAAGGTATAGGGAAAAGGTGATAGCAGCTGACTTTAAGTTAAAGATTCTGTGGAGCGCAGGGGGATTCTTCCTATATTTATTTCAGCCCATTGAAATGAATGGGCTGCCCTACATGCGTTGCGTAAGAACACATTAAAAAGGCACAAGGTCACATTCACCTCTATAGAGGTGAACCATGCCTAAACATATGCCTAATCCAGTTTATAGAGAAACACCATAATTTACAATGAGTGCAGACAGGCCTCATTCTTATACACTAAGCATCTGTACTTAGCCAGCCTCACTCCCTCACCACCTCTCCATACCGTTGGAACCCTCCCTAAAAAAAAAAAAAAAAAAAAAAAGTGGGGCATCTGAGTATGAGGGAGTACTACATTTTGACTATGTGACAGTGCTTAGGCTTGAGTGGCCAATTGCCAGTCCCACACACTCTCACGGGGGCACAACGTCCTCCCCATGTCCAAAACCAGTCAAGTGTAAGCTTAGGCATTTGGGACTTGAGCTATCTGCAGACAGTCTAACTTTGCCCTGAATAGACAAAGTGACCGTGTCCCTTTCATTTTCTGTGTGCTTGACCGGGTATTAAAATTGAACATAGGTTCACCTTACTAACTAACATATACACATTAGCTATTAATCTCCTAGATTGTAAGCTCGAAATAGCAGGGCCCTCGAACCCCTCGTGTATTTTGTTACTGTATTGTCTCATGTTCTGTCCCCCACTATAATGTACGGCGCTGAGCAAACCTTTCTGCCGCTATATAAATAGTGTATAATAATAATAATTACATTATACAATAAATACCCACCATAATCCAGCGAGGCGTGGACTTCACTAGACCTCTGAAGGTATGCTGTAGTATCTTACACCAAGCTGTCAGTAGCAGATCCTTCAAGTCCTGTAAGTTGCGAGGTGGGTCCTTTATGGATCGGTGTTTCCAGCATATCCCACGGGTGCTCGATTAGATTGAGATCTGGAGAATTTGGAGGCCATGCCAACACTTCAAACTTGTTTTTCTGTTTCTCAAACTATTCGTCCATTGTGTTCCAGTTCTGATACTCACGTGCCAATTATAATTTCTTTTTGGCTATGGACATGGGTCAGTGTGGGTACCCTGACCGATGTTCGGCTACGCAGGCCCTCATACACAACAAATTGCTATGGTGTTCTAACACCTTTCTATCAGAAGTATTAACCTTTTCAGCAATTTGAGCTACAGTAGCGTTTCATTTGAATCGGCTTGCATGTGCATCAGTGATCATTAACCACCCATGACCCTGTTTTTTTCCTTCCTTGGACCTCTTTTGGTAGGTCCTGACCACTGCAGACCACGAACATCCCACAGCTGCAGTTTTGGAGTTCTCTGACCCAGTCATCTAGCCGTTACAGCTTGGTCAATGTCAGAGTCGCTCAAATTCTTGCGCTTGCCAATTTTTTTTTTTTCAACACATCAACTTCATGGGCAATGGGTTTTTGTTGGTTTTTTTTTTGTTGGCCTAATATATCCCATACACTTTCAGGTGCCATTGTAATGAGATATTCAGTGCTATTCACTTTACCTCTCAGTGGTCATAATGCTATGGCTGTTCCCTGTACGTTGTAAACATTCACATTGCCAGCTGAACATCCTCCACTCCTGGTAGTATATTCAAACTCACGGATTCTCTTGATCTTCATTAGTTGATTACCTGCAATTGTTTTTTTTTTTTTTTTTTTTTTTTACGGTTAAATGTAACTTTCCATCACATTCATTCATTTTTCAGTTTTATGAATCTGTGGTGATTATATCATTCAGTACATGTTACGACACAATAATCTGTTTGTAAACCACATCATATACTCGGCAATAGATTTTAGGAAACATATCCATCTTTATAAACAGCAAATCCAATCAGAGTCAATTCACCACACCAGGTTATTTGCAGTAACCTTGACAAATGTGGACTTCTTTGACAAACCAAAAAAAAAATGGTCTTTTTTTTCCCTGGTATTTTAGTTTTGTGAAAACAGCAGATTTAGTGTTGAGAATTGCTGTTTTTCAAAAGAAAAAGCAATTACAAGGGCTTAAAAGATCAATAGAAATGATGCTGTTGTCCTAAAGAAAATGCAAAATATTGAGACTTGTGTTCTTTTGGTGCTCACCTGTCAATCCAGCAGCAAACAAGGAAATCAATAACTCAGGGAGAAGGCATTAGAAGGTGTAGTTACAGCAACAAATGTCTATCATCAGCACAGTTTCTCCTTTTAATAGGAGCAGAAAGGGGGATATAATAAAAGCAGTCCCATTCCCTAAGGACAGCTCAGCTCAGATGAAAAAGAGAATTGAAATGCCTTAGTGATCCTTAACCACCATATCCATATACCTATTTAATCTGGGAAAATTGACCTGGAATTGAGGGTCACACATAATAGATTCATAGTAACTAACAACCCTAAGTGGATAGAGAACTCAGTAAAAGTATATGCTAAACATAAAATACAGAAAAATGTAAGGTTCAATAACTGCAAGGTTCATAAATAGATTTGTTTTTTTTTAAAGCAGAACTCTATCTTTACACAACATTGGCCAGGCTCCCAAGGGGTCATCTGGCCAGTTCAGTAGCATAAAGGCTTTTCCTTACTCTTGCAGTGAATGTCACTCATATAATGACAGATGAGTGCCATTCAATGTAGTAGTACTCTGAGCCCAGCTTTGGGAGTGTGTGTGTGACTATGAGTACCTGTCCATATATCAAAGTGATCCAGTGCACTCCTTGCAACTATAGATCTAAGTACAGACAGGTGCTATGGTGAAGTGATGAATGATGTCATCAGCAAGACATACCATTGCAGAAAACCATTGTTTGGACATTTATTCACCACCACAATTTGAGGCAACTGAGAACCCCTTCCTCAAGCAGCGGTTACAGTTAACAGTAGACTGACGCCTGGGCAGAGGAAGTGTTCTGAATGATGCTGGATGTCATTCAAACATGAAGACTGGAAAAACCGAGTGGCGGAAAGGAATTATTGCAAAGGGTAACACTGGATTGAAGGTCAGCAATGTAGCAAAGGCTGCCTTTTTACAATTTTTTTCTTTTTCTCAGGAGCTGCGCTTCTTTTCTTTAATATTTTATTTTTAAAGCTGATGTTCTACTTCAAAGCTTCGTTACAGGCAGTGCAGATTATAAAAGTGTTTTAATGTATTCATTAAACATTTTCTAAACACAATTAGTATAAGTATCTGATTTATAAAGTAGCATTCCAGTCATTACCAAACTAATGCCAAACCTACTCCCACCCCCATTCTAAAGCTATTCTATCTAACCCTGTAAAGAAAAGATGAGAAAGGAATAGGACCTCACCTATAGACTTATTATGGGGCATGCATTGTTGGTTGCCTCTCTTGCACACACAAGCTGCCGCTAACAGCTCACCCTGGGACCGGACAGGAGCGGCTTCAGAATAGGCAAGTATAGCGATCTTTTCTTTACAGGTTTAGATAGATGAGCTTTAGAATGGGGGGGGGTGGTAGCAGATTCAGCCTTAGTCAGGTAATTACTGGAATTCCTCTTTAAAGTGTTACTAAACCCAGGACCCTGCATTCACTATATCTGGTCTCCCACAGTACACAGAACAGGGAAATGCAATTATTTTAGTAAATATAAAATGCTAAATACCTTTTTTCATCAGCAGTTAGAGCAGTCTTGTGACTTCTATCAGTGTCCAGCAGAGCACTGGTTAAATCTTGTAGGAGGACTTTTCTTTCTGCTCTAGGAGGATGTAGAACCCCTGACCTCTGTCTGGACAGAACTGATTGCCTCTGTGCTGATCACATGCACCCTCCCAAGAAAAAAAAAAAACCCTCTCTTGCAATACACACAAAACTGAGCATGTGCAGAGTGACTCCACACAATATGTCTTATCAGGAGATAAAAGGGGGACACTGGAAGAAGGAGAGGACAGGATCAAACAACATTTTTTACACAATGCAGATTACCCCTTAGGTTCCACAGTATAACAAGCATGCTTTACTGCACATACAGACTGATTTTACTGTTGTGGGTTTAGCAACACTTTAATATCTGTCTCCTGTCATCTATCCCTTGCTAAGCAGCACTCCCAGTAGGAACAAGTATGCCTAAAACTGGCTTATGAGTAAATTCAGGATGTTGGGGGTGACCTGTTTTCTCAGATTCCCAAATTTTATAGCATTATCAGGTTACCTGCAGGATGCCAGGAAAGCTTAAAATTTGGGAATTTACCTCATTTTCTGTCTTGGTGACATTGGTCACCTGGGCAAGTACAGAGGGTCTCAGCAGCAGTGCCACGGACAGCAGTACAAACATGACGTGGGTCCAAAGGGGTGGGTAGGGGAGCATGCAACGTATGGACATCACATTGGGAGCAGCAACAGTGTCCATGCAGCCACTGTGCCCTAATTGCCTGCACAGACCTATCTCTTCACCACTCTATCGAAAGAGTGAAAAATTGGCTTTAGATATACTTTTATTGTTATTTCTTTTATTCTTTTAGAGGCAGCAGACTATAGTTTGTAGCTTTTATTTTATTGTAAGATCATTGGTATGGTTACCATTTCAGATTCCACTTAATGACTGTCTCTGTATTTTTTTTTAGGTTTGCCTCAGCTTGTGATGATGGATCAGTCATGGTGTGGGATCTTCAGGTATTCAACCTACAATTGCTATCCTGACCTAGTAAAAACATTCATTGACCAGCAAATGCACAGCTGAATGGAGAGTGGTAGTGTGATGGTCCGGGGCTGCTTTGCAGCTTCAGGACCTGGACGACTTGTCATAATTGATGTAACCATGAATTCTGCACTCTACCAGAAAATCCTGAAGGAGAATGTCTGGCCTTCAGTTTGTGAGCACGCTTGGGTTATGCAGCAGGGGGTTTAGAGGGCAATTACTTTTTCACAAAGGGCAAGGCAGGTTTGTACAGATTTTTTTCTCTTAAATGAAATCATTTTAAAAATGCTTTTTGTATTTAATCAGGTTATCGTTGTGTAAATAATAAAATTTGTTTGATGATCTGAATCATTTTAAGTGTGACAAATATGGGGGGTGGGGGAATAATCAGGAAGGGGGTAAATACTTTTTCACAACACTGTATTTGGCTAAACGTATGTGGGCACCCCTCCAAACTATGGGGCTCCAGTATCTGCAGTATAGGGTACTGTAAATGCTACAGTTTGGTGAAGGACATTTTTGTGTTCCAGTATGACTTCGCCCCTTGGCACAAAAATAGCTCTGTAAAGACATGGTTTGATGTGGAAGAACTCAAATGGCCTATACAAAGACCTGACCTCTACCCTTTTGAACACTTTTGGGGTGAATTGGTATTACAGTTGTGAGCCATGTCCTCATGTGCAGCATACCTGAAGTTACAAATTCCCATACACTGCACTATAACATACAATTTTCTGCAGTTCTCTAACTGTCATAGGTTTACTTTAAGCAAGAATGATTTTCTTTTAGCCCCTGTTCACACCCATGCAACTTGTCATGCGATTTGACAGTTCAAATTGCATGACAAGTCGTATCCAAAGATTGGCAATGTAATCGGTGCGACTTCAATTTTATCGGAGTTGCACCGATTCGTACAGTAGTTTCTATGCTACTTTTGACGATTTTCTGGTGCAACTTGCATTGACATCTGTGCATGAAGTCGTACACATCTTACAAGTCTCACTGACATCCGACTTTGAAATCGTGTGACTTCAAGGTCGGATCCAGAGTGAACCTGGGCTTCGTATATCTTTGTTTATGTATTTTATTGTTACTTATCAATGATCTTTGCTATAATGCTATCCCATATTGCTATTACTTTTCAGACTGGAGAAGTCCTTTTTGAGTTCCATGGTCACACTCAGAAGATTACAGCAATAGCTGTATTTCCAGCCAGTGAAACTTATCATGTGAAGGCGAACCTGTTACTTACTGCATCGTCTGATAAAACAGTAATTGTATCCTTAAAGCTGGAGGTTCATCTGTCTGTTTTGTCTTCCTTGATTCCTCTTTTCACCATTCATCAACATTTAAGTAAAACCATTTCCATTTTAGATGTCATTACTAGGTCACTGTGCCGTGCATAGCTTCCTGAAAACATCACAGAACTCTGCCTCGTTATTCCTCTCAATAGTCTTCAGCTCTGAATCAAGCAATGGTCTGGTTCTTGAGAGGATGATGAAAATATCAGAATGCCTTGATGGATGGATGTCAGTCTGTAGGAATGGGTCTTCATAGGCAGGTCAGAATTCAATGAATGAACATGACAGGCCAGGGACAGTCAGACTGGGGAGGAAAGTGCTAGATGATGCTGGATGTCCTCCAACCAGGAAATTAGGTTGGCTGTATCTGACTTGCTGCAGCTTCATGCAGCTTCTGATACACATTGTAAGAAGCCAGATATCTCTTAGAGAGTTCAATGAAAAAAAATATATATACTTGTGATAGCTCTTTGATTTACTCTTGCACACTATGAAAACTTCTACAGTACTGATTTCTGGCTATTCCCTCCCACCTGCTTGTATTCCCTTTATTACAAATTCCGCTTTTACTTTTTTCATTTTCGAAGCTAAACGGAACAAGCTGAAGCTAGAAGCTGATTGACTACTATGCACAGCTGCTCCAAATTCTGTCCACTCCAGTTTTAGCCTGGGTTCACACTAATGCGGTGCGGAATTCTCACCAGTTTCTGTGCGATTTCTGCACTGCATCATGATCGCATCCCGTTCATGTGAATTGGTTCACAAAACACAGTGTGATGTGCAGAATCGGATCACATGAGTGTGAAAACCCATGCGATCCGATTCTGGTGCGGACAAAGAAAAGGATCCTGTATTATTTTGGTGCAGATGCGGTGTGATATGAGCCATACAAAATGTATGGCTCAAATTGCACTGCACAGAAATCGCTTATGATTTTCACAGGAATGCGGTGCAGTTCCTGTGCGAATTACATGTGATGTGCTGCACCGCACCGCATCAGTGTGAACCCAGGCTTACTAAATTCCTCCCCTAGTAACTTACTCATATATGCAGTCCTACAAATCCCTCAAACATCTTTCCTGCTATAAATGTTAAGCTTACAGGTCTGTAGTTATCAGGTGAACACACCCTGAACTTGTAGTATTAAAATGGTAATATGGTTGCCATATTTGCTTTACACCAATCCTCTGTTATTAAGCCAGGTATTGAGGGCCCCTTACACACGAGCCCTCTTGGGCATCATTTTCCAGTGTAATCCCAACACATAGACAAGGCAGTTTGCCTTATGTTCAGATCACAGTGACACACTGCATAGTGTGCATGGAATAAAATATGGCATGTTGCATTTTTGCGCAGTGCGTTCTAATACACTTCAATGCATCGCAGCTCGCACACAGAGTGAAATAAAGTTTTTTTAAAAAGCAAGCATTGTGATGCCAGGCTCTAACTGCAGCTGTTTTCAGTTGTTCTTTGTGGTCTTTCTGCCTTTAGTTTTGCCTTCAGCAAGTGAAATGCATGCTCAATTGGATTGAGATCATGCCATTGACTCAGCCATTGCAGAATATTCCACTTCTTTTCCTTCAAAAGTTCCTGGATTGCTTTTGCAGTGTGTTTTGGATCCATCTGTACTGTGAAGCGCCATTCAATCAACTTTTCTGCATTTGGCTGAATCTGGGCTGACAGTATATCTCTGAACACTGCAGAATTCATCCGGCTGCTTCTGTTTTCTGTCACATCATCAATAAACACCAATGACCCAGTGCCACTGGAAGCCATGCATGCCCATGCCATCACACTGCCTCCACCATGTTTTACAGATGACGTTGCGTTCTTTGGATCATGAGCTGTTCCAAGCCTTTTTGCACACTTTTTTCTTCCCACCATTTTCGTACAGATTAATCTTAGCTTCATCCGTGCATCCATGCAAGAATGCTTTTCCAGAACTGGTCTGGCTTTTTTAGATGTTTTTTGGCAAAGTCTAATCTGGCTTTTCTATTCTTCAGGCTTATGAATGGTTTGCACCTTTTGGTGAATCCTCTGTATTTGCTCTCGTGAAGTCTTCTCTTATTTGTAGACTTTGACAATGATACGCCCACCTCCTGGAGAGTGGCCTTCACTTGTCTGGATGTTGTGAATGGGTTTTTCTTTACCATAGAAAGAATCCTGTGATCATCCACCACTGTTGTCTTCCGTGGACTTCCATACCTTTTTATGTTGCTGAGCTCACCAGTACGTTCTTCTTTCCCCAGAATTTACCAAACTGATGATTTGGCCACTCCTAATGTTGCTGCTATCTCTCCGATAGATTTGTTTCATTTTTGAAGCCTTACAATGGCCTGTTTCACTTGCATGGACGGCTCCTTTGAACGCATGATGTAGGTTCACAGCAATAGATTCCAAATGCAAATACCACACTTAGAATCAACTCCAAACCTTTTACCTGCTTAAATGATGAAGAAATAACAAAGGAGTAGCCCACACCTGGCCATGAAACCACTTCTGATTCAATTGTCCAATTACTTTTGGTCCCTTGAAAAAGGGGGGTGGCTACTCTTAAGAGCTGTAATTCCTAAACCCTTCCTCCAATGGATGTACATACCCTCAAATTAAACCTGAGAGTGTGCACTTTCATCCCATATCCATTATATAACTATAGCTTGAATATGTTTTGGTAAATACCTGAAAAAACTAAAATTGTGTATATGTGGACCTAACTGTGTGTGTATGTATGTATGTATGTATGTATGTATATATGTATTGGGACACCCCTCCAAATCATTGGATTCAGGAGTTCCAATCACCTCCATGACCACAGGTGTATAAAGGCAAGCACCTAGGCATGCAGACTGCTTCTCATTTGTGAAAGAATGGGTCACTCTTAGGAGCTCGTGAATTCAAGCGTGGTGATAGGTTGCCACCTGTTCCTTGCTACTAAATATTCCACGGTCTATTGTTAGTGGAATTTTAACAAAGTGGAACCATCTGTGGACAATAGCAGCTCAGCCATTAAGTGGTAGGCCATGTAAAATGACAGAGCGGGGACAGAGCATGCTGAAGCGCACAGTGCGCAGAACTCACTAACTGTATGCAGAGTAAATAGCAAAAGCCCTTCAAATTTCATGTGGCCTTCAGATTAACACAACAGTGCATAGAGCGCTTCATGGAATGGGTTGCCATGGTCGAGCAGCTACATCCAGGCCTTACATCACCAAGTGAAATGCAAAGAGTCGGATGCAGTGGTGTACAGCAAGCCACCAGTGGACTCTAGAGCAGTGGAGACATGTTCTCTGGCGTGACAAATCATGCTTCTCTGTCTGGCAATTTAATTGACGTGTCTGGGTTTGGCAGTTGCCAGGAGAACAGTACTTGCCTGACTGCATTGTGCCAAGTGTAAAGTTTGGTGCAGGGGATATTATGGTGTGGGGTTGTTTTTCAGGGGTTGGGCTTGGCCCCTTGAGTTCCAGTGAAGGGAACTCTTAAGGTGTCAACATACCAAGACATTTTGGACAATTTCATGCTCCCAACTGTGTGGGAACGGTTTGGGATGGCCCCTTTTTGTTCCAACATGACTGCGCACCAGTACACAATTCAAGTTCCATGAAATTTGGAGTGGAGGAACTTCACTGGCCTGCACCTCAACCCGATAGAACACCTTTGGGATGAATTAGAGCGGAGACTGGGAAACCAGGCCTTCTCGTCCGACATCAGTGCCTGACCTCACAAATTCGCTTCTGGAAGAATGGCCAAACCTTCCCATAGACACACTCCTAAACCTTGTGGAGAGTCTTCCCAGAAGAGTTGAAGCTGTTATAGCTGCAAAGGATGGGCCAACTCAATATTGAACCCTACGGACTAAGACTGGGAAGCCATTAAAGTTCATGTGTGTGTAAAGGCAGGCCGACCAATACTTTTGGAAATATAGTGTGTGTATAAATATATATGCAGTATCTATTTTACAACTAATCAAATAATAAAATGTAATAATTTCCAAAGATCTGTGGGTTAGGTAAAGGCACAGGAGAAGCAAGCCTTGAGATACTGTTTTGTTGCATTGAAAGCTCACAATTGACCATCCAATTACACATGAGCCAGTGTGATGAATTTTTTAAATGTGTATCCAAATTTTAGCTTGTGCTACTGGTCTTTTTACAACGGGTGACTAAGATAAATTGAAAAAACACATAAAAAGGAGCCTAAAGCCCCAACTGCTAGTGGAAAGAAGACTACATAATATGTATTTATTTATTTACCTGACTTAAAATATATATTTTACATTTTTTTAATATAATAAAATATATACTGAATCACTACCGATTTCTATTAGGAGTCTCCAAAAATTAGAAACAGTGGCAGAGTGGTAACTGAGCTCAGTTTTTTGAGAGCCTGTGGATGTATACCATCTGGTCCAGGTCCTTTGTTTACATTTATGTGTTTACATTTTTTTCTGCTTCATATAACTAGAAATCAAGTACAAAAAAAGGCTTATTTATGTGTCCCTGGCTGTGGATTTAATTAAATGTCATGTCCAATAATCGTCCTTGTAAACATTCCTTAACAGCTCAAGTCAGGCTTGGGATTGTGAAAGTGGACAGCAGTGGCAAAAGGCTTCAGATTTTTATTCTACTGTAAAGGTGAGTTAAAAATGTTTTGTATCAGCTTATTTCAACAAAATGTTTCTGAATTCGGGCACTTCTGCCAGCTACTGTGAAGAGCAGTTTTGGCGGTGCTTTGGTGGGTTAAAATATCTTTTAAGTTCTGCCTTGTACCAAAACCACAATGAAGAGTTCTAGCTTGATAATTTACTTTTTTAACAAAGTTTAGTAGCTTACATTTTTTGACCTCTTTGTTTAGTGTATATAGAGGTCCCCTTCACCCACCAGCAATAACGGGGCCCTTGGGTAAACAGTTGGGTAGAGCACAGACCCATCCGTTTAGATTTAGCAGCACTGTGGAAGATGGAGAAAATTCAGTACCAAATTCCACCTCCAGAGTGTGCTTTAGGTAAAAATGAGTCTGAACTTAAGCAGCCAGAAACTTTTTGCTGAAAGAATCTTCAGGTTGAGAAGGAAAAAAATTTTAAAATATACTTGTGACAGCTAAAAGGAGATATCCTATTATTTTATTTTCTCGCTACCCCTATTTTCTTAGTGTGTGAGGTTTCCCTCCAGTATTCCTAGACAGATCGACCAACTTGGGGACAACCTATAAAAGAGGCAGACTATTTTTGGTGTCACCACTATGTGCTCCTAGTATGTTCTCACGTGATGTGTTACATAGTTAGTCTGGCTGAAAAAAGACTTTAAAAAAATATTTTTTTCCAGCAAGAACTCATCTATGTGGTCTTTTATTAAACTATCCAGTATCTTCCCAGCTATAAAAGTTAAACTAACAGGTCTATAATTCCTTGGTAAAGATTTTGACCCCTTTTTAAATATTGGCACCACATTGGCCTTACGCCAATCCAGTGGTACTTTGCCAGTCATTAAAGAGTCCCTACAAATTAGAAACAATGGGTTTGATGTGTAGGTGGAACCACAAGGTAGTCATGTTTCACTTTTCACTAGTCACCTGCCAACCAATCCACTCACATGCCTGTCCCATCTAATACTCAAAGATCAGCAATGCTGGGAGTTATCTTTCAAACAGTTGCATCCATTATACACACTGCTGACAGTATTCATTGCCTTCTTTGGTTTTGCCATTTTATTACATTGAGGATTCTAGAAAGCAAGTAGGGAGCTTAAATTCTCAACTGATATTCAGATGTTCTAGAGCTTTGGTAGCAGCTGAATATGATTGTTTATTGCTATGATGCCTTTGTCAATGTGTGTTTTTATTTTGCCTGGTGTTTTTTCTTTGAGGACATCATGGGTGTGTTTTTTTTTTTTTTTTTTTATTATAAACATTGCGGTTGATTTACTAAAGGCAAATAGTCTATTCACTGTTGCTGTAGGTTAAGTTCTGAAAAGAGGGAAAGCTCTGCTGATTCATATCATCCTATCGTGCAAACAAAATTAATTTTTTTTTTCTTTATTGTGATTGAGCATTCTTTGCAAAGTTGAGCTTTACCTCATTTACTAAGCTCTGAAGCAAGTGCACTTGCATTGCAAAGTATATTTGCCTTTTGTAAAACAACCCTGTTTATCCAGCTAAAGTGACCCTAGTAGTACAATAATGTGGGAATAGACCATTTCTGGTTTGTTCTTGAAAATAGATGTTTTAGGGCAAGTCAGCAGTGGTCGATTCCCGCATGCCCATCCTTTCAGGTTGCATAAAGACTCATTTTACTGTTTGTTCTCATATTTCATGTGTATTCTGTTCTACTCTGACACAAATGATTGCATGTATAGGTGGGGGTATAAATTGTACAGTGTAATAAAATGTTATAAAAGTAATAATCAGGTCGTCTTGTCTTTTATAACACAGACTTTGATAGTTGTGCAAAGCTTGGATGTCTGGCTTTCTGGTGGGACTGAGCTCCGGGTATGGACTCGCAATTTCAACCTCTTGGGAGAGACAGGATTCTTTTCTGATGAAGGTTTGTAAGTGAAATGTGTTCTTAAGCTCAACCATGTTAAAGGAAAACATGATATACAACCCCTGGCAAAAAGTATGGAATCACCACTCTTGGAAAGTGTTCATTTAATTATGTCGAAAATAACTAATTACAGACATGCCTCAAAACTATTCTCATTTAACATTCCAATCTTCTGGCTTTAAGAAACACTTAAAAAAAAGAAAAGAAAACTGTAGTCAGTTTCAACTGTTTTTGCAGTTCAAGCAGAGGAAAAAAATATGGAATTACTAAATTCTGATGAAAAATATTATGGAATCATAACAAAAAACACTACAGTACCCTACTAGTACTTTGTTGCACCACCTCTGGCTTTTATAACAGCTTGAATTCTCTGCAGCATGGATTGAACTATTGACAAACAGTATTCTTTATCAATCTGGCCCCAGCTTTTTCGTATTCCAGTTGCCAAATCAGCTTTGTAGGTTGAAGCCTTGTCATGGACCATTTTCTTTCATTTCCACCATAGATTTTCAATTGGATTGAGGTCCGGACTATTTGCAGGCCATGCTATTGACATTATGGGGTTTATTTACTAAAGCTGGAGAGTCCAAAATCCGACTCCCTTCTGCATAGAAACCAATCAGCTGCACGTTTCATTGCCAAAGCTTCATTGAACAAGCTGAGGTTAGAAGCTGATTGGTTTCTATGCAGAAGGGAGTCTGATTTTGGACTCTCCAGCTTTAGTAAATAAACCCCTATATGTCTTTCTTGAAGGAAAGTTTTCACAGCTTTTGCCCTGTGGCAAGATGTATTATCATTCTGAAACATGATGTCCTCATCACCAAACATCCTTTTGATGGAATAAGAAAAGTGTCCAAAATCTCAATACTGTATAAAGGTGTGCATTTATTGAACATTTAATGACTGTATCATCTCCCCCGTACCTTTACCTGACATGCAACCTCATATCATCAATGATTGTGGAAATTTGCATGTGTTCTTCAGGAAGTCGTCTTTATACATTTCATTGGAACTGCACCAAACAAAAGTTCCAGCATCATCACCTTGCCCAATGCAGATTCGTGATTCATCACTGAATATCATTTATTCATCCAGTCATCCACAGTCCATGATTGCTTTTGTTTAGCCCACTGTAACCTTATTTTTTTCTGTTTAGGTGTTAATGATGGTATTTGTTTGGCTTTTCTGTATGTAAATCCCATTTCCTTTAGGCGATGTCTTACAGTTCAGTCACAGACATTGACTCCCGTTTCTGCCCATTTGTTCTTCATTTGTTGTGTTGTGTATTTTCTGTTTTCAAGGCATATTGCTTTAAGTTTTCTATCTTGACGCTTTGATGTCTTCCTTGGTCTACCAGTATGGTTCCCTTTTACAACCTTCCCATTTGAATTGTACTTGGTCCAGATTTTAGGCACAGCTGTCTGGAAACAAACATATATCCTTTCCAACATTTCGTGATGATTTACCTTCCTGAAGAAGTTTTATAATCCTTTCCTTTGTTTCAACTGACATCTCTCATGTTGGAGCCATGATTCATGTCAATATGCTTGGTGCAACAGCTCTCCAAGGTGTGCAAGCATTTTTTTTTTTCTGCAGACTAATTTAGTAGATGTAATTTGATGCAGATGTTTGTTTTAGAACTGCAAAGTACATGGTGATTCCATAATATTTTCCTTCACTTCCTGTCTGGTGATGTGTCACCAAGAGATGAAGTAAACATGAAAAACAAATAATTTTTTCTTTAAGGTAGGGGATATGCTAGAACCCCCACCTTATCTTTTCATGGCTATCTGTATACTTTTTGGAGATGTACAGTGCTCAGGATAAATGAGTACACCCCAACAGATTTGTCAGAAAACCTTTACTTTCATGGTGTGTTAATTTACACACAGAAAAAAAAAACTAAATTTTAGACAAATCCTTATTAAGAATTCAACTACAAGTGAGTCTATTTATTAATTAAACAGGTGTCCAGCAGACAGTTGTTTATAAAAATGCGTTACTTAACAAAGAAAACCCCTCCCCATTTCATGCTGTCAGCCATGGCACCACATGGAAGAGAAATGTCACAAGGCCTGAGAAATAAAATAATTTCTTTACACAAGAAAGGTAAAGGCTACAAGAAGATCAGCGAAGGTTTGCTTATCAGTCAGAATACTGTAGCAAAAGTGATACAAAGATGGCACTGCAACCATCTCACAGAGACGCCCAGGCCATCCACAGAAGGTTAACATCTCGACAGGAGCATCTTCTGATAAGAAGGGTTGAAGAAAATGGCCATGCAAGTTCACTGCAGTTAGCTAAAGAAGTAGAAAGCCAAACTGGGATGATTGCTTCCCATGACACAATACGGTGTACACTGCAGAGGAATGGCATTCATGGGTGTCGTTCATGAAGTAAGTCTTTCCTAAAGCCCATGCACTAAAATGTCCACCTAGAATTTGCCAGGGCCCTTGCTGAAAAAGTAAAAGACTGCTGGAACTCTGTACTCTGGAGTGATGAGACCAAGATAAATGTTTTTGGAACTGATGGCTTCAAAACTGTATGGCGTCACAAAGGTGAGGAGTACAAAGAAAAACACATGGTGCCTACAGTGAAACAGTGGTGGTGGCAGTGTCCTTTTGGGGGCTGCATGAGTGCTGCTTCTGTCGGGGAGCTGCATTTCATTGATGGTATCATGAATTCACAGATGTACTGCTCTATATTGAAGGAGAAGATGCTACCATCACTCCGTGCCTTTGGTTGTCGTGCACTCCAAAACACACATCTAAGGCCACTGTTGCATTTCCGGAGAAGAGCAGGATGAAAGTGATTCAGTGGCCAAGTATGTCTCCTGATCTGAATGCAATCCAACACCTATAGGGAATTCTGAAGAGACAAGTTGAGCATCACTCTCTATCCAGCATCCAGGCTCTAAAAGAGGTTGTTCTTGAAGAATGGAAAAAGATCGATCTTGCAATATGTCTCCAACTTGTTCATTCCATGCCTAGATGACTTGTTGCTGTCTTTACAAATCATGGAGGTCATACAAAATACTAGATGTAGTAGTTTTTGTTGTGGCGTGTATTCATTTTTGCATCAACTAATTTGAGTAAAACTGAAGATTTTGTAATCTAAGTTATATTATTAACCTTACTTTCATGTAATGAGCTAAACAAATGTTCCTTAAAACTCAGTGTTGTCAAAATTTTTGGAAATTGTTCTTGTGTTATTGAGATATTGATTTAAATCTTACGTTTCAAAAAGGGGTGTACTCATTTATGCTGAGTACCGTACCTTAATTTCCTGCCTAAGAAATAGTATTGTCACCAGGGCAGGATGTGAAGGTAGATCTCAGCAGCTGGATAACTGGAAGCAATAATTCCTGAGAGGGGTGTTTACCCTTCTCAACACTAAAAAAAAGAAAAGAAAAAAAAACAGCTTAAAGCGGAGTTCCACAAAAACTGTAGCTGCTGACTTTTAAAATACAGTCACTTACCTGTCCCTCAGTCCACCAGTGTCTTAACCACAGCTGGTTTCACCATCTACTCTCCCTGGAGCTGGCATCTTTAATGTGGGCATCTGGCTGTGACAGCTTGCGGCTTCACAGCCAGGTTCCCACTGCGCATAGTCTTCTGGGATCTGTCACATGTCCCAGAAGACTATGGGGAGGGAGGACAACTTCCACTTCCGATCGCCTAGGTGATTGCAGCGGCAGTGGGAGTGGTACCTGTCAAATTCGGGTATCCACTTCCCCACCGCTCCTAAAAGTGCCAATCCTTAATAGGGAGCGGGGGACAGAGTCTTAAAGTGGAACTTCCCCTTTTTGGGTGGAGCTCTGCTTTATGTTCATATTTTGGAAGCAGAGTCCAGGTACTAAGATAAGTACCCTGGGGCCATCGTCTTATGGTATGTACAGAGAGGGCAGAAGGGATTTAGTCTCTCCAAAGTTTGCCTTCGACTATTACATGTATTCGTACAGATGTAGTTTGCAATGGCAAGAAAGAATTGTTTACTTGAATACTATAAACTTACGATTGTATCTTTTCGGTCTTCTAAGGTATTGTAGCATTGATTGAACTGCCCAAGAACTGTGTGGCGGCAGCAGTTGGAAAAGATTTGAGTAAGTTGTGTGTTTTTTTTTTTTTTTTGTTTTTTTTTAATTTTAACACAGGGTAACTTCACATTGGTGATTAACTGCATAGTAAATGCAGTTGACTTAAAATGGAACTATAGGTAATAAAAAAAAAAAATTGCAATCAAGATGTTTTTTTTTTTTTATTTCTGAAAGAAATACTGGAGGAAAATTCCAAATGTATATGATCAGTAAACTACTGATCTTATTGCCCATGTGCATGTAGCCTTACATAGTAAAATTTACTTAAAGTGGTTGTAAAGGCTCAAGGCTTTCTACCTACATGAATTCTGTGCATTAAAAGTAAAAACTCTTCAGTGTGCAGCAGCCCCCTGCCCCCCTAATTCTTACCTGAGCCTGATCCAGCAATGTCCACGAGAGAAGCCCTCTATCCCAGGTCTCTCCCTCCTCATTGGCTCCCGCTACTATCAATCACAGCCAGTGAGCCACTGAGGAGAGAGCGGGGGGGGCAGGGCCGAGCCACATCTGTGTGTCAATGGACACACAGAGCAGTGGCTCAGGAGCGAGCCCCATGCCCCGCACAGCAAACCCTGTGTTATGGGGGCACTTGGCAATAGGGAGGGGCCAGGAGTGCCGGCGGGGGGGACCCGAGAAGGAGGATCGGGGCTACTCTGTGCAAAACCATTGCACAGAGCAGGTAATCATAACTTTTATTGTTTAAAAAAAAACAGCCTTTACAATCACTTTAGTTATAATATGTTCTGTTACTAGTTAAATGTCTGGCACTACTGTTTGTACATTTGTGCAACCTTTCTGTTTTTGTTAGTTCCTGTAGCCTTTTGTAATTTTTTTTTTCTCTTAGGAATCTTTAAAATAGGCACCACTTCCAAAGAATTGGATAAATGGGATATTTTTCAGATTAAATGCCTTTCAGGTCATCAGGACATTGTTCGATCTGTGATAAATGTCAATGGTTAGTATCCTTTCTTTTCTTCTTTACTTCATTCTGTGTACTTTCAGAACATTTTTGTATAATAATTAGTGTAATGCAGATATGCAGAGCTTTAAAACATAACTTTATTTTTGTAATAAACATCATCGTTCTTATATGTATTTACAATTTCTTCCTGAAAAATTGTGTTCATCATACAGCAGAAGCCAAAACCAACAGGTTAGTTGTCCTTCAAGACGGATTTTTCCCATGCAGACACTTGTTTGTTGTTTTTTTTATATCAGTAGTATTAGAACTATAGGAAGCAGTAGATTTTTGTACATGTTCATGCATTTTACCTGTATTTCAATTGACAGTACAATGCATTGCAGTATGCTCAGTGTGAGCGAGCCCTTATGCTGGTACTGCCTTCATTTAGTTTTGCATTTTTGAGGGCTACAGATAAAATCTGTGTTTTGTTGCTGTCAGTTATGGGGCCTAAATGTTGTTTAAAAGTTAAATGAAATATTTTGTATGCCGTCTGTTTTGGTTTCTTTCTCTGTAGAGTTAACGTTTGTGAGCGGCTGTGATGCTGGGGAACTGATTGTGTGGGATGCTTTAAACTGGTCTATCCAAGGTTGTGAAAGAAACTTCCCACACATATATGCACAGCAAGACTCTCCTCCAGAGAATAGACTGCTACCAACACAAGAGGAGGTTTCCATACAACACCTGTCGTCTGATGGAGAGGTCTGTCTTCTGTTCCTATTTCAGTTCTGCTGACGTGCGTGTACATTTTTGGAGCATAAGATGTAGTTTAATGTTCCTGTTTTTCTTTATTCTCTCCTTTTAAAGCTGATCTCCAGCTTTCAATGACGTTTAGTTTGTTTAGACCAAGCTATTCCAAACGAACTAATTACTTCATTAACAGATGCAGCGGTTCTGTGCAGTACATGAACTGCATGTAGCCTCAGCTACATACAGTATACAGCTTTGTGTTCCAGCAGTAAGGTGAGAACTTCTCTTCCCATGCCCGAAACAAAATTGAGTCTGAGCGCTGATCAGCCATTCACGAGAACTTTGTATTCTACGAATGAGTACAAACATTCCTAACCTCCACTGATTGGCTGAGGTGGAGAGGCAGGTGGATGACGTCATGATGTCTGCGTTATGCCTGTCAGAGGACTCTTTGTATTCATTGAATGCAAAGCTCCCTGTGAATTGCCCGATTAAGCCCAACTTGATTTTGTTCTGGGAGCGAGAAAGGAAGTTCTTATCCCACTTTAGAAACACAAAGCTGTATACTGTGTGTAGTTAAAGCTGCATACAGTTTATTCAGTGCACATAAACACTGCATCTGTTAGTGAAGTAAATAGTTCATTTAGATCAGCTTGGTCCAAACAAAAAGGAAATTTCACTAAAAGCTGGAACTCCGCTTTAAGTCAATATGATTACAGTAATTTATGTATTCTTTCCCTGCAGTGTGTCTATGTGGCAGTGGGAAGGGGAATTTACGTTTACAATTTACATACAAAGAGAGTGATTGCTTTGCAGAAGAATGCTCATGACTCCAGTATACAGCACATGGCAAATATTCCGAGCAGGTATCAAGTCTTATTTAATATAATACCACTTTTTTTTCTCTTTTTTTTTTTTTCTTTCTTTTAATAATTATAAGTAGAAATATAATTTTATACAACTATCAGCAGCTTTGCATATCTGTGGTTAACAAACTGTGTTTCAATACAGTATTTGTAAATTTGTTTATTTAGTGCATGCTTTCAGGTTTGTTCACACCAGCTGCTGCACTGCACTAAAAAAACATACTACCTCCAGTACTTTTATTTGTCAGTGCACACCACCACCACCACAACCTGGTGGTGTGAACTGGGCACATAGAGACAAGGCACTTTGCCTTGTCATACTGTGGGGCTGTGCTAAAATCTGGTGTGAACTTCGCCTAAAAGTAGAATTCCTGCCCAAGTCTAACTAGCCATAAAGCAGTATTAAGCTCAAACTCAAAAGCCCAAACATTTCATATATTTCAGCCTACCAGTTCTTTGATGTGAAGACTGCATTTATTTTCTTTTTTAAGCTTTCTTCTATTTTCATCTGGTGATCTGGCCAGTAAGTTTGATGTTTTTCAAAAGAACAAGTTTACCAGCAGAGTGTACCAGTTACAAAAATTAGACAAACCATTTAACACTAGCAGGGGTGCTTACAATGACCATCTTGTATTTATTGATGTAAAAACTTTATCCAAAGAGGATAAACAATGTTTGCTGTAACTGCCTATAATGTGAGAGCTGGAGTTAGGCTTTAATTTGTTAGTGTATGTCAGTCTGCTAGTTCATCCAACACTCCCCTCCCCCCAGACTGAAAATGCTGCTGTCCAAAGGTACTCCTGTGCTCCTTCATCCAGAGTGTAGGCACTCTAATACAGGAGATGTGTTACTGGTCAGATCACCAGGTGAAAACAGAGGGAAAAAAAGCCCAAAAATTATACTGATGCAGCCATCACATGTAAAGATTGGTAAGCTGCAATACATTACATTTTTGGTGTTGGTTTTGATACCGATATTTAAAAATATCTAGTCCAGTCATATGATCTGGGGGAGCAGCGGATGTGCAGGAGAGGAAGGAGTGCTGACAATGGCTGGGACTTCAGAGCCTATGAGTCACAACTCCCATGAATTCCCAGCCATTGTCGAGCATTCCCTCCTCTCACTGCAGCCGCGTCTGGCTGACACAGGGGATTATGTGACTGACACGTAGCTCACTCTACAAATTCGGCATTGCTGAATCTGACGGACGTCATCCTTGCCCGGCCAATGACAGTGCCCGGCAATTGAGAGCCGGATGCTTCAATATGTTATCGTCTGGGCTGGGAGCTCCAGGATCCTGCATTGCTGGAGACAAGGTGAGTATAATTCCGCTTTAAATAACTTATAGGAAATAAACCTTAGGCTGCAGAAAGTAATCATAAAAAAGAAAGCTGTAATGACATAGTACAGTTTATTTATTATAATGGAAACCCTTAAAAACCTTTATAGAAAACCAATAGCAAGCAGTCAATTTTTCTAGGAGACAATGGGTGACCAGCACCCCTTTTTCTGCCACATCAGGCTTTTTGCACACAACATCTAAAAACAGCAGCATAAAGAATAGTCTATGTTTTTCACATAAACGTTTCCCTGTATGTACAGGATGTACACAACTAAGCAGGAGTGCGGTTTAGTGTCCCTTTTCAGTGAAAAAAGTTTAAACGCACCATTTTTGTGCCTGATTTTCTTGATTAGTATGGCACTAGATCACCAGCTGTTGTAATAATAGAGTCTTGTAGCACAGGCAAAAAAAGTTTTACCACTTCTGAGTTGGGTTATGTGTGTCTATTGATGCACCAACTGCTTTCTTCCGTGTCTCCCGCTGCTGCCTCTGTGAGCAGAGATAGCTTCTGCAGATGGGCAGAGCGCTGAACTGAAATCAGGCTCAGGTGAGTATACAGGGGGATGAAGGGGTGGTACAAACACTGGGACATTTTTTACCTTAAAGTGGAGTTCCACCCAAAAAGGGAAGTTACGCTTTAAAGATTGGAACCTTTGGGGAGTGGGGGGGAGCAGGTACCCGAAATTGACTGGTTCCCACTTCCGCTGCTATCGCCTAGGTGATTGGAAGCGGAATTTGTCTTGCTACCCTCCCTCCCCATAGTCCTCTGGGACACATGACAGGTCCCAGAAGACTACAGGACCATTCAGGAAGCACGGCGCTACTCGCACATGCGCAGTGGGTACTCGGCTGTGAAGCCACAAGCTGTCACAGCTGGGTGCCCACACTGAAGATGCCGGTGCCTGGAACACAGGATGGCCGGTGAAACGGGCTACGGGGAGGACACCGTGGGATTGTGGAACAGGTGAATGGCTGTTTTTTTTTTTTTTTTTTTTTTTTTTTAAAAAGTCAGCAGCTACAATTTTTGTAGCTGCTGACTTTTATTTTTTACAGTGTGAGTGGAACTCCGCTTTAATGCAGGGAATGCATTAAGGTACAAATCCAGGCTTTACAACCACTGAGTTACCATTAATTTTGCTATTACTTTAACTACAAACTTTCTGCATGGCTATTGTGAAATACCATTTGCACTTTGGCATGAATGATCATTGTAGATACCTTTTAGAAACTGTATTTATAGTAAATATATGTATTTATAAAATTGCTTTATCCAGGCAGCTTGTTTCGTGTTCAGAAGATGGCAGTGTTCGCATTTGGGAGTTGAGATCAAAACCACAGCTCCAGGCAGAGCCTGTGCCAGCAGGTATGTAGTGATGGTAAACTTTACTGCTAATACCATTGTAATTAGTTAGTAGTTATTTATGACAGTAGTTATCACTGGCATATATAGTACAGCCATTTGTGAGTGAAAGTAGTATTCCATGTGGGAAAGGATACCTTAAATCAGTGGTCTCCAAATTATGGCCCTGGGGCCAGATGTGGCCCTTTGCCTGCTTTTTATGTGGCCTTTGGGCTCTTCTCAACCCCCCCCCCCCCCCCCACTGTCAGCAACAGTGGGGCATAGTATCTGACACTGACAAGGGGGCCCTTTTCCTCCCACTCACACCAGTGATGGGGCACTGTTCCTCCCATTCGCACCAGTGATGGGGCTCTATTCCTCCCACTGACACCAATGATGGGGCTCTATTCATCCCACTGACACCAATAATGGGGCTCTATCCTTCCCATTGACACCAATGATGGGGCTCTATCCCTCCCACTGACACCAATGATGGGGCTCATCCCTCCCACTGACATCAATGATGGGGCTCTATTACTCCCACTAATACCAATAATGGGAAACTATCCCCCCCCCCCCCCAATACCATGTTCTACTCTCGCTGGTCACAGTCCGGCCCTCCTAAAGTTTGAAGAACCGTGAACTGGCCATTTGTTTAGAAAGTTTGGAGACCCCTGCCTTAAATAATTACATGACTGCAAGTTTAACAGTGTGTAACTTTCCATTTTATGACCAAACAATAAAAGGGAATCACCACATGCTTTTTTTTCCTTTTTACCACACTTAACAATTATCTGTTCTACTGCTTCTCTACATCCCACGCCATCATTTTTGCCGCCTTATGTTAACATCATAGCTGGCCAGCTTCTTCTTCCTTGTTCTCTGCCCACACACTGATGACTTCTTCTGCAGATCTCCTACAGCACAAACTCTTCGCAAGATCTGGCATGGTTTGTTATTGTATATACACTGCCATGATGTTAGTAACACGAGCGTCATTACACCAGCCAACACTCCTGTAGCTAAAAGGATGGCAATATACAGTTAGGTCCATATATATGTGGACACAGGCACAATTTTAATTTTTTTTCAGGTATTTACCAAAACATGTTCAAGCTATAGTTATATAATGGATATGGGCTGAAAGTGCACACTCTCAGGTTTAATTTGAGGGTATGTACAGGTGAAACTCGAAAAATTAGAATATCATGCAGAAGTTCATTTATTTCAGTAATGCAACTTAAAGGGTGAAACTAATATATGAGATAGACTCATTACATGCAAAGCAAGATAGTTCAAGCCGTGATTTGTCATCATTGTGATGATTATGGCTTACAGCTCATGAAAACCCCAAATCCACAATCTCAGAAAATTAGAATATTGTGAAAAGGTGCAATATTCTAGGCTCAAAGTGTCCCACTCTAATCAGATAATTAAGCCATAACACCTGCAAAGGGTTCCTGAGCCTTTAAATGGTCTCTCAGTCTGGTTCAGTAGGAATCACAATCATGGGAAAGACTGCTGACCTGACAGTTGTGCAGAAAACCATCATTGACACCCTCCATAAGGAGGGAAAGCCTCAAAAAGGTAATTACAAAAGAAGTTGGATGTTCCCAAAGTGCTGTATCAAAGCACATTAATAGAAAGTTATGTGGAAGGGAAAAGTGTGGAAGAAAAAGGTGCACAAGCAGCAGGGATGAACACAGCCTGGAGAGGATTGTCAGGAAAAGGCCATTCAAAAGCTTTGGGGACTTTCACAAGGAGTGGACTGAGGCTGGAGTCAGTGCATCAAGAGCCACCACACACAGACTGATCCTGGACATGGGCTTCAAATGTCGTATTCCTCTTGTCAAGCCGCTCCTGAACAACAAACAACGTCAGAAGCATCTTACCTGGGCTAAAGAAAAACAGACCTGGTCTGTTGCTCAGTGATCCAAAGTCCTCTTTTCTGATGGGAGCAACTTTTGCATCTCATTTGAAAACCAAGAACCCAGAGTATGGAGGAAGAATGGAGAGGCACACACTGCAAGATGCTTGAAGTTCAGTGTGAAGTTTCTACAGTCTGTGTTGATTTGGGGAGCCATGTCATCTGCTGGTGTTGGTCCACTGTGCTTCATTAAGTCCAGGGTCAACGCAGCCGTCTACCAGAAGATTTTGGAGCACTTCATGCTTCCTTCCGCAGACGAGCTTTTATGGGGATGCTGACTTCATTTTCCAGCAGGACTTGGCACCTGCCCACACTGCCAAAAGCACCAAAACCTGGTTCAATGACCGTGGGATTACTGTGCTTGATTGGCCAGCAAACTCGCCTGACCTGAACCCCATAGAGAATCTATGGGGCATTGCCAAGAGAAAGATGAGAGACATGAGACCAAACAATGCAGAAGAGCTGAAGGCCGCTATTGAAGCATCCTGGTCTTCCATAACACCTCAGCAGTGCCACAGGCTGATAGCTTCCATGCCACGCCGCATTGAGGCAGTAATTGCTGCAAAAGGGGCCCAAACCAAGTACTGAGTACATATGCATGCTTATACTTTTCAGAGGTCCGATATTGTTCTATGTACAATCCTTGTTTTATTGATTGCATGTAATATTCTAATTTTCTGAGATTGTGGATTTGGGGTTTTCATGAGCTGTAAGCCATAATCATCACAGTTATGACAAATCACGGCTTGAACTATCTTGCTTTGCATGTAATGAGTCTATCTCATATATTAGTTTCACCTTTTAAGTTGCATTACTGAAATAAATGAAATTTTGCACGATATTCTAATTTTTCGAGTTTCACCTGTACATCCAAATTGGAGGAAGGGTTTAGGAATTACAGCTCTTAAGAGTAGCCATACCCCCCCCCCCCCCCCCCCCATTTTCAAGAGACCAAAAAAAATTGGACAGTTGAATCAAAAGCTGTTTCCTGGCCAGGTGTGGGCTACTCATTTGTTATTTCTTCATCAATTAAGCAGGTAAAAGGTCTGGAGTTGATTCTAAGTGAGGTATTTGCATTTGGAATCTGTTGCTGTGAACCAACATCATGTGTTCAAAGGAGCTGTCCATGCAAGTGAAACAGGCCATTGTAAGGCTTCAAAAATGAAACAAATCCATCAGAGAGGCACTTGGCTACTCTTAAGAGCTGTGATTCCTAAACCCTTCCTCCAATTGGATGTACATACCCTCAAATTTAAACCTGAGAGTGTGCACTTTCAGCCCATATCCATTATATAACTATAGCTTGAATATGTTTTGGTAAATACCTGAAAAAAAACTAAAATTGTGCCTGTGTACAAATATATATGGACATAACTGTATAAACAGAAGGCCTTTTTCAAAATATTAGGGGATGGTAGTTTGAACTGCCTGGAAGGCCCTGGTGACATAGCCTTCCCAGGGGGCAGCTGTAAGGCACTGGCCATGTCACTAGTGCTTCAGAAGAACAGGAAGAAGAATTTATGGCAAAAAATAATATATACATTAAACATAAGCTTTCAGTCTGCAGATCTACATCCATGTGTGGTTTTGTTTTGGGGGAAAACATCCACTTTAATGAAGAAAACATTTTATACGTAAAGGTTGTTCAGTTCTGATTGGCAGCTCTGTATGGCTTACCATTTCCTGTATTCACTGACTGGAATGTTTTATTTTCTTTTAAGTCATTAATAGGCTGAAAATGCTAACTACCTTTTTCAGGTTTTTTCACTATGTGGGGCTTTGGAAAAGGCAGTAAGCAGTCCAATCAAGTAGTGAAGAAGACCAATGAAAATGGCATTGTAGCTTCCTTAGAGCTGATTGGAGATTTGATTGGACATTCTTCTTCTGTAGAGGTAAAGGTTTTGGTTTTGTACAGGTGTACACCAAGAAAATATCTCTCTGCAAATAATGCTGAATGTGATAGCCTGCTGAAAAAAACTAGACATATCTTGTGTTTTATTATTACTTTTTTTTCAGCTGTGTTGTGTATTCTGCTTTTGCTGTTAAGGCAGCCATAGATGGATCGAAATGTGTCTGGTTCAGCAGGGATGGCTGAATTTTGATCCATGTGTGGCCACTGCAGTTGAATAGAAGTTGCTCTAATAACCCTGTCAGTTAAAAGCCACTCGATTAGCAACTGCAGCGCTGATCTGTGTATTCTGACAGCAGGGGAGTATCCCCACTGTCAGAATACAATAGTGGGGGGGGGGGGGGGAGTTGGTTCAGTCTTTTTCATTTAGCCCACTGGTTGAATGAAAACTGAACCGTGTTTGACCAGCTTTAGCCTGAACTGAGTCTTAGGGTGGCCATACACACTGCAATCTGATTATACAATCCCTGTACATTCGCAGTTACTATAAATCTGCCAAAAGATTGAGGACAAACCTCCACAATCCAATCAATTTCTATCCAGTCGCACAGGCCCCTATGCTACATAGTTGTTCATAGATCTAAAGGGGATTTTACAATCAGATTGTATAGTGTATGTTTAGCTTAGTTTAATGAGTTCATCTTGCCTGTAGTCCAATATCTGACAAAAAAAGAAAACGTAAGACTGCAGTTTGATTGTAAAAATCTGCATGCAGTTTCCCCCCAGTCCCCCATTATACTCAGCTGAGCCTGCTTTCAATCCAATGATGTGCTTGATGGCTCTCTCCCTCCTCATTGTGCTCAGACACAGCAGGACCCATTGGCTCCCTCTGCTGTCAATTACAGCTAGTGAGGAGGGTGTGGGGGTAGACCGAGCCTATGGACACACAGTTGGCTCGTCAGTGAGCACACGAGTGGCTTGCTATGGGGGCACTTGGGGGGGGGCGGGCGGGGGGGGGTAGGTTTGGGGTTAGGAACCATGAGCACCAGCGGGAACCCTCATGATTTGTCTCTTATAACAGTGGCATGACTAGAAATTTCAGGGCCCCCGTACAAGAAACCATAAACTGACACCTGGCTGGGCCCTTCCCCCAGACACTGGTGGCAAGTGCGACCTTTGTGACCCTGGTAGATTTGCACTGATGTTAGTAATTTTGTTTTTGGTTTTGGGTTTTTTTTTACAATTTTTTCAGGAACACCATTGGGTGGGGGGCTTTGGTGAAATATCAGGGGTCTAAACAGACCTCTGATGTTCCACCTTTGTGACAGAGAAAAAAGATTGAGGACACATCCCTCAATCTCCTTCTCTGCATCCTTAGCAGCACAGCATGAATGGACAGAAATAGCTTTGTAAAAGAGCTTCCTGTCCATTCATAAACTGAAGCTTTATTCAGAAATAAGAAGGGGCTGGTAAATGACACATTTATTGACCCCTTTCCCACTCTCCATCCTTACAGATCCCATGCAGCAGCTGGTGGGAGAGGGGAACCTGGCAGAGCTGCAGGGGAGCAAGAGAGCATGGGGGCAACAGAGAGAAGCTGGACAGCAGCATAGCATACAGAGGAATCGTTTTCTCCATGTTCCTCCTGCAGCCACTGAATGCCTATGTGAGGGAGAGGAGGAGAAGCTGGAATTCAGCGGCTACAGGAGAAACATGGAGAGATCGGTTCCTCTGTATGCAGCTGCCCCGTCGCTCCTCCTATCCAGGCGTATGGGGTGGAGGACACACAGGCCCCCTGCAGCATGGGGCCAGGTCGAAATTGCGATCCCTGTAGGTATGCCCCTGTGTTAGAAGGCAAACCTTTAGATGATCAGCTTGTCATGTGCTCCTTCAGTCGGCCATTGGACTGTCTATTAGGTGTACACTTTCCTTCACCAGATTTGATTTGCTGGCCACCAGTTAACTGAAATGCTGTCACTGGCAGGATCTTCGGTAAGAAACTTTGCAACTAAATTCAAAACGTATTCAAAAAAAGGTTAGAAAACTTTATACAGTGAAGCATGATGCCCAAACATATTAAAAAAAATAGATTTTGGGTTTGCACACACTATAGATATCTCCCAGAGCTTGTACAAATGCTCCTGTGTAACAAGTATACAGATAAAGACAATCTGCCACTGTTTATCCAGCTTTATATGTTCTCTATTTGCATAACTAGTCCATATTTTGCTTTTACAGATGTTCCTGTATTTTCAAGATCATGGCCTAGTCACATGCTCAGCTGACCAGCTCATCATCCTTTGGAAGGAAGGAAAGCGTGAATCCAGATTACGTAGTCTTTTGCTTTTTCAGAAATTAGAGCAAAATGGAGACTTGCAGCCTCGATTTTCCCTCCACTAACCCATTTATTTATGCTAACACACAAATATGTTGTATATTGGTTCATGCAGAACGTGAAGCGAGTTGCAAATTATGAAACTAATATATATTTTTATGTTTGACACCTTTTACTGGTAATGAAAGGAAAACACATAACTGCCATTCAATTGTGATGAACTACTTTACAGTAGCTGAGTGTCCCAAGTACAGGACTTGCATCATCACTAAAAGACCAAGTGAGAAAGAAGATTCAGTCGGGGACATTAGGCCTAATTGTCAAAACAAACTAGTTTCAAGTAAACACACGGATGAAGTTTTTGGCTAACAACTATCTAGGCATCCTGTGGTGTCTGTGCTTGGGTGTGACTTTTCTGTTAAAGGTTCAGAACACCTGATAGGTTCTCTTTAAAGCTGGACAGGCATGCAAGCAATTATTGATGGTGCTTGGTTTATGGGATCAGGTGGTTTGCATATTACAGCCCTCCACACTTTTTAGATTTCTAAATGTATCTGATAGAAGTTATAATTCTGTTTTAAACAGGTCATCAGAATCTATAGATTTTCAGCATGGACTGGAGGTCTTTCTTAAAGCAGAACTAAGGGCTTTAAAATATTGCTAGCAGGAATGCTTTTATTTCAGAAGAGACTATGAGGGAGATTTACTAAAACTGGTGTACACAGAATCTGCTGCAGCTTTGCACCAGGAGTCCTCATCATAGTTCCTTCTTACATCAGGTATCCCCACCAGAGTGCCCCCTTACAGCAACGGCCTTTATCAGAATGCACCCTTATATCAACTGTCCCCAACAGAGTGCCTCCTTACATCAATTGCCCCCCATCAGATTGCCCATTCACATCACATGCCAACATCAGAGTTCCCCTTACATCAGTTGATCCCATGAAGTCTCATGGATTATTGGATGCACTCTTGGAGATCTGTGAGGCACAACTAAAATGGGGGGGGGGGGGGGCACAGCCCTCCCCAGCCCCTCTTTAGATCTGGGCCTGCTTTCAGGTACTGGACACTCACAGAACTGTGAGAACCCCTCTATTGATTTAAAACAATATATATTCTGCTCTAACTTGGCTATGTACAAGCCCTTCTGGCTACTTATGCAACTTCTGGACTGGTGCCCTAGGCATGCCACTGGGACCATACCTGGACCTCATCAAAGTGTTGGAAGATGTGGGGCTGGTCTGAAAGGTGCTTGGGGCACTGTATCCTGCGATTGGCCACCCTCCTAGGCATGTGTGAGTTGGCACACAGGGTGCTATACATGTCCACGGCCTGGTTGTTTGAAGCTCAGGTCCTGAGGGACAAAGGATCATTGGAGTCTTTTATTCTGACACTTCTCCATGCTAGAAAGTCGACTTCTCACAAAATATACCATCGCACCTGGAAAGCTTATTTTGCATGATGTGAGCAGAGAAAGTTTCATCCTAGACCTAGACGACACACCACGGGAAGTATCCTGGTTTTTCTGCAGTCAGGTGTGGATCGACATCTGGCCTTGAGCACCCTCAAGGGACAAATTTCAGCCTTGGTTATTCTCCTACAGCATCCTTTAGCCTCTTACTCGGCCTAAAACCTGTAAATAAATTTTTGAGAGTACAGTAGAGGACATTGGACCCACCCCTCTGCCTCTGTCTAATCCTTCTTGCTCGCTAAAAAACTGAGGATATATGTCAGTGAGAGTTTTGTTTGTGTCAGCGTTTACAGACGCATGTGTGTCAAGTCACCTGAAGGCAGTAACATATAACCCAGTTGTCGAAGAATATGCATGTGTCCTGTAATCTGTAATGTAGTGCAAGAAACGACTTTTACAGCTAATTCTAAAAATCCTTTTTTGGCGGTCAGCAATTGTTTTTCTATAGTATACTGAGCCACGCAGTGTACAATTGTAGCATGATGCGGGTGCTGGGCCACAGTCACTTCGAGGGCATGTGCATTGTGTCATCCCAGGCTGGAAAATCAAAATGGCTGAAGACTGATCCTGGAAGATCAGGGGGCAAAGATGGTGGAGATGAAAGGAAGATTGTCTCATCACAGGAGGGGGTGCTTTGGGAAGATGGTGTGTTATAATGGACACATATGCTGTGCTTATAATGGCAAGAATCCTGGGGGCCGATGGAGGATTAGTTTCTGCTTTAAAATGCACCCAGACTATGGACATGAAACTAATACATATTCTTAACAAGCAGTAAAAGGGATTTAAAATAAACCATCCTTGACCCCTGTAGCTGCTTTTAATGTACTTGTTTAAAAGTGCATTAACTGCTTAATCAGAGTATGTAAATACTTACATAGGTGTTTATTATCTGGGCACAGGTTCACTTTAAAGCAGAACTAAAACCACTGATTTTAACAGTTTCCCAAAACCATTAAGTTGACCCTAGATGGATTGAAATTTAGCCAGTTCAACAGAGATCTGCTGAATTTCAATCCATGTATGGCTCTGTCTGTTTGTCAGAAGTGGATCGTAGATTGACCATTTGTGGAGCTAGCTTGCTGGAAAGTTTTTATCGATCAGTCAGCTGCAGCCACAGTATATTCAGCTAGGAGTCTCACTGTTAGGGAAAAATGTCCACGCTTGTGTGAATGGAGGAATATGTTCATTTCATGGCCAACTTTACATTCATGTTTAAGTTTAGATCTAAATAGAGGCTAAAGCCTCATACACATGAGAGAATCGGACGAAAAAATAAAGGCTTTTAAAACGATTGTCCTATAGTCTGATCACCATCACTCATGCAAAAATATCCAAAGGGACAAGCCCAGAAATGTTTCTCGTAAGATAACAGAATGAATGATTTTCATGTAATTAGTATAGTATTTGCATGGAAAAAAACAAGAGCCCAAAACCGCGCATGCTTGGAAACGAAAGAATTACAAGAATGTTTGTAACTCTAGCAAACTATTCGTATTCGATATGAGACTAGCATGCAAGAAAAAACAGACAATCATTTGTCTGAAATTCTCATTTTGTGTAGTAAGCTAAAGTTGGCTCACACTTTGGCTGTAAAGGATAGGAGGGGTTAGTTCAGCTTTAAGGTGAAAGTGATATACTCCCTCAACTGATTCTGTCTAGTAATGTCATATAGAAAAAATTACAAATATTGTTTTGCCAGATCATGTTACCTACATGGCATTAAATAAATGTGAAATATCTTTTGTATAGGTATGGATACTTTGGTGTACATAATTTCTTACATTTGTAGGAGATCTTTCACATAATGTATCTTTTTTGTTTTACTTTTTTTAGTCCTTTAAATGTTGACATGTATCATTTGGCAAAAAAAAAAAAAACTAAAACAATGCGCATAATTTCACGTTATTTGCATTTTAATTTTTATATAAATGTATCCATATTTCTTCTTTTGATAGTATAACTATCTAGGTACAGAACAGTTTACTACTGATTTGTTTCCGTCCAAATAACAGTTATTCACAATAGTATTTGCCAAACTGGATGAATAAAATAATTATGAAGCACAGCAAGTAAAGATGTTAATTATGTGATGTATAGATGCAACAATTTAGGGATTATTTGAACTTGATTATTACTGATTTACACTGATTAGAAGAGCATTGTCTCCTCTTTGCAGTTCTTGTATAATCAGAGGGGCTTGCACTGATATTTTCTCTTTTTGTATCTTCAATTATTTATTTTGCCTGACAAAAGAGCTACTGAGATGTAATTCCTGTTTTCTTGTAGAACAGTGTTAGTAGGTCATTTTACCTTTTTAATGTGCTCTGTGGATATAAAAGTGGACCTTCCACCTCAATGACAGGGTCCACCTTTACAATTGCAACCCTCCATAAGATGCTGCATAAAAGTAACTATGAGAGGTAGAAATACATAATATACCTGTTCTTACCTTTCCTCAGCTTCTTTCTGCAGCACCTAGGCAGGGTTACATCTACCTGCTTTCCAGCCAGATTTCGGAGAATGTTCATTAGCTTAGATCTTGAGGAAAGATGACCCTGCATTGTATTCTTGTGAAATATACAAGCATTCCCAGGGATCTTGTCAGTAGGAGGAAGACGTAACCCCTGCAGTAGGGAAGTTGGGGATATTTGAGTATACTGTTTCAGTCCCCCCCACCCCAGGTACTATTTATGCAGCGTTATAGGGAGGGCAGAGGGGTACTTATGATAAGTTGACCTTGCCACCCAGGTGGAAAGTCCACTTTAAATTTTACTGGTTTCTGTGGCTTGCTAGTTAGTGTTATTGCCAATCCCCAGCATTGTAGCGAGCTTTTATACCACCTAGTGGCCAGTTTTGAGTATTACATTCACATCAGAAAGCTGTGGTCCTATCTATACAAGCTGGAAAGGGAAATTGTGCTGCAGTGTATTCTGAAGTATTTTTCTTGCCATATAAATGTAATTTTCTAAATATGTGACAAAAACATAATAAAGAAAACCTATCACCATCTTTTATTTTACATTATGTTGTTTTTCTTTACAATTGTTTGTCAATAGTACAATTGATATGATCCAAAAATCTTTAGACAGAATAAAGGTGAATAAAGCACCTGGACTGGATGGCATACACCCTCGGGTCCTTAAAGAATTGAGCTCTGTCATTTCAAAGCCATTGTTTCTAATTTTTAGGGACTCTTTAATGACTGGCATAGTACCACTGGATTGGCGTAAAGCCAATGTGGTGCTAACATTTAAAAAAGGGGTCAAAATCTTTACCAAGTAATTATAGACCTGTTAGTTTAACTTCTATAGTTGGGAAGATTCTGGAGAGTTTAATAAAAGACCAAAGAGATGAGTTCTTGCTGGGAAAAAAAAATATTTTAGGCAACAGACAGCATGGATTCATGAAAGACAGAAGTTGTCAAACAAATCTGATTTCTTTTTATGAGGAGGTGAGCAAAACCTTGGATAGAGGGGTGGCGGTGGACGAGGTATACTTGGATTTTGCAAAAGCATTTGACACAGTTCCCCACACACGGCTAATGTGTAAGGTAAAGTCTACGGGCTTGGGAAAAATCTGTATGTAAATGGA